ACTATTCCTGAAGTGTTTTACTGAAAATCAGCCTTTGTAATTGTTTGTACTGGAACACAAGGTTGCACTGCCAGTCATGGAGACTCGGCAGGCACAGTGATGCTTATGGCTGGCCTCACTTTGCCCTTGAGTATGAATTCATGGTGTTTTCAAAGGTTGTCCTTATTTCTACTGTTTCTTACTCACAGACCTGGAAACTGGAAAGAGAAAACAATCACTTAAGCTGTTGAGTATTCTGTGCTTGCTCTCTGAGAACCGAAATGAGGACGAGTTTTATACAGAAATATGCAGATATGTATATACACATGTATGTTGTAAGGTATTTCACTTAGTTTTTTAACATAATACAAAATATTTTTTTATAATTTCTGTTCTTTGTGTAAAGTTATGGATGTCATATACATGCTTTGGGAAATCTAGTAAAATATTTATCTTGAGGTTTCAGATTTTTTTTTTTTTCCTCTTTCTTGTGTTTTTCATACTCATAGCATTTTACTTCACCACATGCTTTTAGCTGCTTATCTTCCATGACTGCAATAAGACAAAAAGATTGGTCCTGTTTGCTGGCACTTTTAAGAACAATACTTGTTAACCTAGTAAAACAACTAGTGAGAAAACAGTAAAAGCCTGAGCAATAAACATCAGCAGGGAAGCTGCCATGTTTGGCGCATGCCAGTTGGACTTAATCCTGAGTCATTAAGAGTTGCTTAGCAGGTAATGGGAAATAGCCACAGGAAGTGTCCATAGTGCCCATTTTATTGGAATAGCAAAACCAAGAACAGTGTTTGGCCCTAATGCACAAAATTAAAATTACCCTGTGAACTTTTAATCAAAAGGCTAGTGCTGAAACACAAATTACTAAATTTGGGAAACCTATAGAAATACTGCAGAGGCTGACGGTAGGTGTGAGTGCTTATTGTAAATATGAAACAGTAATGGAATAGGAAATATATCAAATGTTAGGTTACATTTTGTTTTGGTATTTGTCTATGCACAGATGCATGTGCTTGTTCTCTGGCAGCCTGCCTCCCACCTTCTCCTACCCTAGCTGTCCACCCTTCAAGATGAGCATTAGCCCCAGCAGCTGGTTTTGGGTGGTGAAGGCTTTGAGACTTTTCTCTCACTCCTTCATGCACCCTTGCTCAGAGTAAATATCTCTCTCAAAAGCCCCTGAGCTACCTGTTGTTGTGCCTGCCTGTGCCCTGTCTGGGCAGAGTTCTCTGTGAGACATCTCCCTTGCCTCCTGGCACGTGGGGTGAACATCCACTAGGAACCTTCTTCAAACTCTAATTAGCTGTACATGAATAATAAGGGATCTTATGGTAAGTCATAACATAGATGGGTATATAAGGGCTCTCGATGGCCTTGCCAGCTTAGTCAGTGTGGTCACATCTCCCTCTTTTGGCTGCTACAGGACCTCAGCAGCCCAGAGGCAGGAAACAGTGATTTTTTTTTTTTTTTTTAGTCCTCAGTGGCCTTTGCTACAGTCTGGCTGCATGGACAGGGTCCATTGCTGTGATGGGTTAGGAAGGTGATTGGAAATGTAAAAGGATAGCACTGAGGAATTGTTCCCGGAGGAGCTGTGGGCTTTTTGCATCTACCACAGAAACGGGAGAGGGAAAGGGGAAAAGGGGTGGTTTTCTTAAAAAGATGAAACCAAGGTAGCAGTAGGTGAGTGTGCTGCTCCCATTGCTTCCTCAGGTAATTGTGGGAAATGGTAAAGCGAGAGCCCACCCAAGCCTGAGGGTCATGACGGGAGCCGCTGTGCGGGCTGTGGCTCTGCCTTCTCCCCCCAGCCTCCAGCAGACACGCTTGGTCAGTAGCAATTTCCCTGTCACCAGCACCCATTAGTCTGTCTTTGAAAACTAGCTGCTCTGTCTTGGGCACCACCAGAATGTGAATGAAATTGCATACTGTGCCCTGCACAGCACCACCAGTGACACCCTCACTTCTTAAGGATTCACACACTATTTCCCTTAGGCCTCGGGCTCCATTGCTGCTAGAGCAGCCCCAGCTGTCCCCATGTCCCAGCAGCTGTGCTGCCCTCTCCGTGTTGGAAGGCAGAGTGAGTCTCCCCTTCTAGCTGCTTTCCAGGGCTCTTGTGGGGGCACTCGGCTCACCCCACTCCAGCACTGCACACAGAGCTGTGCCTGTCTGGGTGCCACCACCTGGCCCCTGGCAGATGAGCACCCCAGGAGGAGACAGCTGCACCCCAGGCTCCCCAGGCAGGAGCTCTGAGGGAGCGTGGATTGACCAAAGGGCGGGTAGATGCTTCCTCTGTATCCCTGACACCTCTGTGCTCTCTGTCATACTTGGCTGAAGGTGGGCAGGAGGTTGAAAAGCTGCTGGGGAAGATGCCAGCCAGACAAGTGTTTTGTGGTCTGGTGTCCTTTGGTTGGTGTCTCTAGCCCTGCATCTTTTTTTTTTATTTTATTTATTTTCTTTTTATTCTATTTCCTATTGAATGGAAAATCTGCCCAGGCAGAATTCAATCTGTGGATACAAGTGGTGAGGCCTCATCACAGGCAAAGGGTAACTGATGTGACATGCTGTTAGTTGTGGTCATGCTGGTCCACATTTCACAAAAGCCAGTGTAAAACACAGCTCTGTAGTTCCCACTTCCTTGCAGTTATATGGCAAACACTGGAGCAAAAATACTGCTCCACATACTGGGCCCAGTCCTATTCATTGTTTTCATTTAATGATGAAAGGATGGAGTCTTCCTCCTTGGAGATATTCAAAATCCATCTAGACATGGTCCGGGGCAACTGGCTCTCAATGGCCCTGCTTGAGCAGGGGGGTATGCCAGATGAGTTCCAGAGGTCCCTTCCAACCTCAGCCACTCCATGATTCTGTGATGTGGGGCTTTGCCTTGCCCTCAGCCACCCACCTGCTGCTTTGCCTACACCCAGGAACTTGCATGTGAGCAGAGGAAGCAAGAAACTGCCACCCTAGGGACTCTATAAAAGAGCTTTGTGCCAGTGGGGTGTCTTCAGTAAACCTGTACCTTATGTCCCTTAGTTGTTGAGCTGTGACCAAAAGAATTTACTAACCCCTTCTGAGGCAGGCCATCATTTCCTTTTCCAGCAGCATTGGCCTTACCTACTCAGTGCATCACTTAAGCTCCGAGGTAGTTACTGCCTGCAGGAACAGCACCGTTTTGTCCTTCACGGTGCCACCTGCAGCACTTCTCAGGTGCTGTACATCCGAGTCTGGCATCCATTAGCTTTGGGATGTGTCTCCATCTGCCTCCAGCTCCCCCTTCCTGATCCTCCCAACGAGTTGCCCTTTGGAGCAGACTGATCACAAGGCATTGAAGTGAGGGTGTGTGTTTAAATGACCACGTTGGTTAATAGGGGGTGCTCAGCCCCGCAAGGATGCCAGCAGGACAAGTAAACCCTTTGGCTGCAGTGTTATTCCTTTCCCAACAAAAGGCAAGAAACTCCCAGAGTAATGCTTTAGAGCATAAGTTATCAAATAGGTCTTTAGGGGTAACTTAAACTATGCATTTATATAAAAATGGATCAAATAAATTTGGTGTTGGGGTTGTAAATATACAAACCTCCAGAAATGAATATACAAACAGAACCAGTCCCCCCCCTGCACTCATGATGGGGGGAACCACCATAAAACTTTCCCTATTTTGGAGCCCCCATCCTACCCTGATGTTGTCACATGCTTCCTTAACCCTGCAGACACTGCCTGTGGATATTCCCATGCACTTGTCCAATGCTGGAGCTGCCATTTTCTTCTACTGTGTCACTTGCTGTGCTCTAGTACCCAGCTGGCACATCCAACCTCTTGGCCTCCTCCCAGTCCTCCCCAAGTGTTTTGCCCAGGGATGTCGTTGCTCAGCCACAGTTACACATCACTGCCCTCTCAGAGCCCTCTTGCCATGCCTCTCCCAAAACGTCCCTCTTCACAGCCTCCTGACTCCCACCTCTGACAGGACAACAGGGCCCTTAACACAAAATATTTTGCCATGCTCCATCAGGTCAAAAATTGGCTGCCAAGTCCTGGTCACAGGGAAAAGAAACATCTCTGGGCTTACACTCCTACAGCAATGGGGCTGCAGACATCAGGGCCCAGCTCCTCACTGGCTTGTGTTAAACCCCACAGGGACTGATGAGTGCCAAATAACCCATGCCTCTTTCACCAGGTGCAGTTTGCAGAGCCAAGGTCTTTGGGACAGTTTTGCCAGCAGAAGCATGGTGTGAGGGGACACAAGTGAGCTTTTTTTCTCATGGTACTCTCCTCCCAGGTGACAGGCTGATGGGGGCTGGCTGCGGGGCACCCTGCATTCCTCCAGCACACGGGTAACCCTGCTGGTGAGCGGTCGCTCCTGGGCTGCTTCCACCAGCACACGCTCACCTGCTTGGCCATAGCACACAGCTGCATGGGGGGGCCCTTGCCAAGCACCACAGGGCAAGCAGGAGTGACTGTTTGTACTGGCTACAACAAACACTTTTTTTACACCTCCCGGACAGGGTCAACTCTCTCCATGGAGTGCTTGAAGTGCTGGAATTCACCAGATATTTTCTTTGGACACTGACATGTTGTATCTGGACTGAAACTGAGGTGTGCTGCTAGACTGGGCACATCCACCCGTCTGCTGTTCCAAGAAAACTTTGCCCACTGCTAGGACCTCTGCCTGCATCATGAACAGAAATACTGCTTGCCCTGATCTGTGGCCATCTGGAGAAGGGAAGGAAGGTGATTCGCCCGGGGTCACAGGAAGAGCCAGGGCAGGGCAATTTCCCAGGCTCCAACCAGATGGCTGCATCTCTATCCCTCCTTTCTGAAGGTCTCAGACAGGACCCCACTGGCTTTGAGCAGGGCAATAAAACACGGCGCATAAAATCCCAGCACCTGAGGCAAGTGACACATCTCACTCAAGGGGCTGTCTTACAGGTCAGAGGGAAAATACTCAGAATAATGGATGCTGTACAGAGTGCCCGTGAGGTGCTTCACACAGAACCTGGTGCTGCTTTCACAGAGACTCAGCTGCGGAGCAGTTCCTGGGAGCAGCCAGCAGCTTTGAACCCTTCCGGGATATCGCTGTCCAGTTTGGAAATGATCTTGTAAATGGGTTTCTTCCAGGAGGGGTCGGCATCCTTGCCTGCCCGGACGGCGCTGAAGAACTCCCGCAGCGTCAGGCTGGCCACCTCCAGGAAGCGCCCCGGCACCTGCGGCGAGACAGACATCAGCCCACGGCGCCGCCGCAGCCTCGGCTCCCCCTCGCCCTGGCAAGCCCCTGCCCCAGCTCCCCCTCCTCACCTCGAAGTCGTTCCCCTTGTTGTAGTGCATGTTGAGGGCACGGAAAAGCTCTGAGTCCCGGGAGACCCGGAGGGTACCAGCATCCACAACACCCTCCAGCAGAGCCTGTCGGGCAAACTTCTCCACCTGGATGTAGTAAAACTCACGGAAGTTGCTGAACCACTTGATGAGCTGGGAGGTGATGCAGCGGCTGAACTGCCAGGGAGCAGGGAAAGACGGAGGAGAGGGGTTACTGCCAGCTTGGAGCCCCCTAAACCCAGCCCTGTCCCAAGGCTTCAAAAGGACCAGACAGGACCGTGCCGTGGGGGTCTCTGCAGTGCCTCTCCCTACCAAGATTCGGATCCCAGCTGCTGGGATCACATTTGTGATCATCGAGGGAGGCACATTCCTGATGTTCTTTAATCCCAACGCCTTGGTTCCACAGAGTGAAGACCTGGCAGCCCAGGCCTGCAGTGGCCCCGAGCACCAGCTGCAGGACAGCCCGTGCTGAGGGGGCCGCCAGCCCCCTGTGCCTGCCAGCGAGGCAGAGGGACACCAGAGCATCCCCGTCCTGTCACTGCCTGGTGAGATGGGCTGGGTGCGACACCGCGTGGGACCCTGCCTGGCACCAGCGCCGGGCACCACTGTTTTACCTGCACGTCGAGGAAGTAGGCCTTCAGCAGAGTGGAGCTGGGGTAGCGGGTGAAGAAGAACATCAGCTTGGCCTTCTTCAGGTGGCCAGGGGTCAGTGCCTCCTGCATCTGCCTCGGAGTCAAGGAAAGCCTGCACGCAGCAGCCCGGCCCCCCAGCACATCCCTGACACTGGCCCTGGCACGCGCGTGCCTGGCGCCCACGATAACGCCTCCCCACGGCCTGGCAGCAGGGGGCAGGGGAATCATCCCGGGCTGGGCAGCCACTGGGTTGTCCCTTCAGCTACTCCAGGGAAACTGCTAATCCCCACAGTGTTTCCCGGGCCAGTGGGAACAGGGATTTCCATGAGACATCTCTTCCTGGCACAGGATTATGGGAACGCTACAATGGCCTAGAGCAGGTTTGGGAGCTCCTGGCTTCTACCCCCAGCTATGCTACAGCATCTAACCAACCCTGAGGAGCAGGACTGCCCCTCCATGACTCAGGACTCTTCTCCTGCCCACCCCTTTTTGGCCCCCTGTAGAGCAGTGGGTCCCTGGACCTGAGGAGACCGGCAGGGACTGTGTCACGCTGTTGCTTTGGAGGACAAGGGGAGCACGTCCAAGCCCATGAGACCTCTCCATCTGCCCCCAAAGGATATATGGGTGGAGGTGAAGGGCACCCTGTCCATCTCAGCCTGCAGCTCCCCGCAGCCATCCCTGCCAGCTGGCAGCAGTCCCAGGCTCTCCATGTCAGCAGGGTTTAGGGGCAGGTGGTGCTGCTGCTGTCTCACGACTGATGACCTCAGTTTGATGGTTCCCCAGTCCAAATCAAGGGGCTCCAGAGGACCACTCTCCAGAGCAGAGGGGCTCCTGCAAGAGCCATTGCCCCAGAGGCCGTGCTGGCCATAGCCCAGCAACTGGCTCAGCAGCTGGCTGTCCTGAACCGGGGCGGCCGAGCCCAGTGAATAACCCAGGCTGGGTACCTGAGAGGATTTTCTGACCCCCTTTGAACTGAAGGAGCCCGCATGAGAGCCTAGGCTCTTCCCTGAAGCTCCTGACAGGGCCTCAGCCTGGGGTGAGCCCAGTGAGCCCGGTGCGTTCATGGGAGATGGTTTAGCAAGTGGCTTTCTGCATTTCCCAGCAACAAAACACTCTCTCTTGGCATCCGGCCCCGGCACCAGGAGGCTGCGGTGCTGCTGCAGGAGGTGACTGCTTGCCGTCGGCCAGACAGTCTTCAGGACAGAGTCCACCACCCGGGATGTCACCCCGGCCAGCTCGTGCTTCAGTGCCTGCGAAAGGACCCTCGCTGCCGAGGGCAGGCCGCCTGGGTCGCCTCTGTCCCCGTCCTCCTCTGGCCCATGCGCCTCCAGGACACTCCTCCAGAGAGGTGCTCTGCACGCCTCACTGCTGACAGTGGCACTGTCCTTGTCTGGTCTGTCTCCAGGCATTCTAGGTAACGGATTCATTTTCTTGGCACCTTTCTGGGTTTGGGCAGCATCCCCAGAGTCGCAGACCTGGAAGAACTTCTCCTGAAGCTGTCTCAGCTGCTGCTCTAAAAAGCAGAGCTGCTCCTTCAGCTGCTGGCAGCCCTCGGCAGAGTGGCTGCCCCCCACAGGGGCCACTCGCCCAGCCACCTCTGTGCCCTGCTGGGTCACACTTGGCTTCCTCTTGCTCTCCTGAGGCATTTCGCTGCCCTTCTCCCTCTCGTGCACATAAGCTGCCTTCAGGCTGGTGTCAAATGCCTGAGGCGTTGGTGGGAGGCTCATGCCTTGGATAATGCTCTCCACCCTGGCCCGCTTGGCTCGTAGGTGCTGGTCAGAGAGCTGCTCCTGTAGGTGCTGGTCAGAGAGCTGGTTCCTGTCACCAGCACAAGGCACAGGAGCTGGGGCACAGGTCCTGGGGAAAACCAGGGTTTGTACTCCTTCTCCAGGAGATGCACCACGCTCACAGTCCTGAGGCAGGGCCACTGCCTGAGAGGAAGGGAAGAGGATGGTGGGATCCAGGCTCCTGCCAGCCATCGGGTGGCTGAGGAGCTGTGATATCAGGGATTTGCTGGGGCAAGGCAAGAGAGAGTTGGTCTGGAAACAGGGCTCCGACTTCAGCCCCTGGCTGTGCCCTGCAGTGGCACAATCTCTGTCCTGCTCAGAGCCAGTCCTGCCATCCATCGTCTCTTCTTGCTGCCTGGACGCCAGAGAGCTCACCCTCAGCTGGTTGGGGATCATTTCCAGTGACAGACTGGCAGGCTTCCCAGGTGTTTGATGTTTCAGCCTGCCAGTGGTGAGGAGCTGGAGAAAGAGCAAGAAACATCCGTCGGTAGGACCTCATACTGCAGTTCTCCATGCACATGGCTGGAGATTTTTTCCTCCCAGATTTCCAGGACATCCCTGCTCTCCTGCAAAATCTGTTTCACCAGGGAATGACCCAGGCAGAAAAATCCAGGCGCTGCAAAACCCTGAGCAGGCTGTTTGGTGTTGCATGACAGCAGCAACGCCCTGGACACTGTCACAGCTCCTACCTATCAGCCAGGTATTCATCATACCTAGAGTACATTTCACATGGTTTGGGCCCTGGATGTGCCTGGCAGCGTGGACTTCCCACACCAGCTGTGCCTGCGTCAGAGGCATTTGGGGAAACTCCCCTCTGGGCTTATGGACTCAGGTGCAAGGGTGGTGGTCACCAGACAGAGCCCTCTGCCATTCATGCCTGGGCAAGGTGGTTTTGGGGGCTCGCAGGTTCTGGCAGAGCATGGGGGGTGGCAGCTACCTCCCCCGTGGAGGCATTCGCAGCACATAAGGCTAGGCCAGGGCATGGCTGCTGTGTGCTTCTGCTGGCATCCAGAACCCATCACCACAGCCTCAAAGGCACAGTGATGGGCAGGAGCACTGGGGGGTTTGGGGTGGCACAAACAGGATGGTGGAAAGGGGTACAACGAGGGTGAAAGTGTGATGTGACCTACTGTGAATGAGACACGCTGGGATGTTCAGGCTGACACAGCACGGGGCTCCTAAGTGCTCGGCAAAACACTGAATAAAAGGGATGGGGATTACTAGGGAAGAGAAAAACCACTGAACCAGCAGCCCCAGGCTTAAAATTGTCACACTAATTCCAGGCAGGGATCCACCCCCTCTGCTTGTTCACTCGCTCAGACAAAAGAAAGTGCAAAAGCCCGTATCCCGGGAGGTAACCTGGTAACTGTCCCTGTGGGCTGCTTCTTCCTCATCCACATTAATCAGCAGAAGCTTTGCATCCCTGAAGGATGATTTACGTTTTTTCCAGACACCTTTAAAGTATCTGAGATTCTTTTGCTATACCCAGAAATTTATGATCATTTTCAGCACCACCAGCCTCCTGTCCCTGTGTCTGCCTGCTCCTCAGGCTAAGTCGCCCAGGCTAATGAGCAGCGTAGAAAATGGGTTTCTACTCACTGTTTTTTAGCAGGTGGCCTTTCTTCAAACAGCCCTGTACTCCAGGCAGGTATCTGGGAGAACTCTACCTTTGCAGAGCTCTAGTCTTGACAAACCAAGTATTTTCTGGGTTCTCTGACACCACTTGTGGCTCTCGCATGTTGTCTCCCCACCCCTCTTGGCCATTAGGGTTTCACTTTCCTAACAGCCTGTCATAGGGACATTCAAACTGGCAGTTGACCCGTGGCCAGCGTGAGGCTGGGGTGTCAGCAGCTCCTAGCATCACCCCTCACCCTTGTATAACAAGCTTCACCATCACCTGTGGTCACCTCATAACCTGCCAGCTGCTTCCAAGAACATCACACAGCAAATGCAATGCAGTCATAGATCTCACCCACCCTTAAGCTTTCCCTTGTGGCAGGGGGGGAAGACAGACAGTCCCGCTATTTCACTTGGTTTGTTACAGAGTCACCTTCTTTTGGCACTTGGTCACAACTTTTCACCCCCCCTGTGTTTAACAGCAAGCTCAGGGGGCTTACCCTTCTCCTGTGCCAAGGCTTCCCAGCACCAGAAACCCGGGGTGATAGACCCCTCATAAGCAGATCAACTCAGAGCTGGCAAGAAGCCCTCCACTTGCCTAAGGCTTTTAACACCACCACCTTTCTGCCGGAGGTGTGGAGGGTGGGAGCAGAGCGTGCGGTCCCAGGCCACGGCAGCCTGCTGTGGGTGGCCTCGGCTCGCCTCTGCAGCATGCCCTGTGCCACAGGACGCGGAGGTGCTGCCCCAAGCAAACTGCTCCCACCCGCACAGCCCCTTCCTCGCTGGGTTAGCAGATGCGTGCTTGGGTCCCTGCTCTTACTACCAGCCTTCACCAGCACCACCTTCCAAAACAGCAAAAAGCAGCTGAGGCTCCTTTTACCTGAAGAAAAAGACCGAGGAACGAAATAAAGATGCTCAGAAGAGGAGGCAGGCGCGTCCTTTCCAAAACGTGAGCCACCCTCCATGGGCTCCCCGGTGCTCCTTGGTGGGAGAGC